CTAATTTTATCAGTATTTGTTGTGCTAAAATTACCTTTAAAGGAGACTTAAAGGTTTCTAAGGTCTGATCTCTTTTCTTAATAGTCTATAGTACAGTAATTAAAATTTTCTATTCCCTCCCTATGGTATCTGATGTATATAGAAAAGACTAGGCCACAGAGAAGTGACTTTTATTTTTTGGTCACACCCAGCAATGCTCAGCAGTTACTCCTGGCTTTGCACTAGGTAGGAATCATTCCTTTCTATGCATGGGGTGACTGGAATTGAACCTGGATCAGCCGTACACACAGCAAGCACCTTTTCTGCTCTACTATCTCTGGAACCCCAGGAAGTGATTTTTAAAAAATTGAATGTTAAATCTAGTGAACTCTACTGGAAATGTGCAAGTTCCCCCCAAAATGTAGACCAATACAATTGTTCCTTTATTTTTTAATTTTATTTATTTATTTATTTTTGCTTTTTGCGGTGTCACACCTGGCGATGCAGAGAGGTTACTCCTGCCTTTGCACTCAGGAATTACTCCTAGTGGTACTCAGGGGACCATATGGGATGCTGGGAATCGAACCTGGGTTGGCAGCGTGCAAGGCAAACGGCCTACCCGCTGTACTATCGCTCCAGCCTACAAGTGTTCCTTTAGCCTGTAATATTTTTATGCTCTGCACAGTAGTTTCCACTCATGAGTCTTAGGTTTTAAGAGCTTATTATACATTTGCTCGAGCGGGTCCGGTAACGTCTCCATTGGAGACTTTGTTGTTACTGTGTTTGGCATATCGAATACATCACTGGTGGCTTGCGAGCGGGTGAGATACTCTCGGTAGCTTGCCGGGCTCTCCGAGAGGGGCGGAGGAATCAAACTCGGGTCGGCCATGTTGGCTGCGTGCAAGGCAAACGCCCTACCACTGTACTATTGCTAAGGCGCCAGACTCAAGTTCCTATTATACATTAAAGATACAAAAATCAAATATAATTAGTGATTTTCAGCTTTGGCTGTACTTTAGAATCACCTTTAAAGGTTTTAAAAATACTATGCATGCTTTAATTGTACTAGAGAAAAAATCTTGTCATCAAGATTGTTTTGACAGTTCCATTATGATTCTGAAGTGAAGCCTGAATTGAAAAATCACTTGCGTGGGGCACCCCCAGTTGTGAGTACCTCTCTGGAACAGAGAAGGTTATAGAGAAATATTGTCTCCTTAGGTGTCGTCATGAATGTACGCTTACAAAAAATAAAATGTCTGGTCCAAATTAAGTCATAGATATGGTATCTTTGACTGAAGAACTTAATATATAATATCCATTCATATTTGTGAATAGCATTCATATTTGTGTTTCTTTATACCAATTACTAACTCTTGCTTTGAAAGTTCTTTTGAAATTATTCACTACAAAGATCTGAGAGTAATTTAATTTTTTTATAATGAATTTCCTGATACCTTTATGAGTTTTCATGCTATAGATGGACTAGACATAATTTTGTATAGAAGAGGCAAAATAACTATATGTTGCATTTATGCATATTTAAACATAAGAGTCTTCAGTGTTTTAGAAAATAGGGGCCACCTCCAGCAATATTTTGGGAGCCATGGGACACCCCTGAGCTCTTAGCAGTGAGCTCTTCATGTGTCTGTGCTTAGGCCCAGCAATGTGGTGCCCAGGGTGGCAGTACTCTGGGAGCCATCAGGGTTACAAGTGGCAGATCTCTGGAGCCTTGTAGTGTCAAGGATCCAACTCAGGCCCTTGCACATATAAGGCATGTATATGCCTTATACTTTCTCCTGGGCCAAAATGGTCCATTTTTTTGGTCTTTGTTTTGTTTTTGTTTTGGGGCTACACCTGTATGTGCTCAGGATGTGCTCTTGGCTCTGTGCTCAGGGATCTCTCCTGGAAGTGCTCAGATAACCATACATAATGCTGGGGAAAGATCCAGAGTGGGCTGCGTGCAAGTCAAGTGCCATACCTGCTGTGTTATTTTCGGACCCAATTGTACATATTTTAACTTTGCTTTTATCTTGATACTCATTTCAGTCTCTTAATGCACTTAATGGACATATTTTGAGTACAGCATATTCATTGTATAAGATTGATTATATCCCTTACTTTTGAAGTGAAGTCTACTCTTAGACAAGTTTTGGATAAAGATCAGAGAAGTTGGAGCCATAGAGACAGTACAGGTGGCAGGGTGCTTTCTTTGTGTGCTGCCAACATGGGTTTGATCTCCAGCACCCTTTAGAGAATCACCAGGAGTGATCCTTAGTGTAGAACAGGAATAGCCCCTGAGCACCATGAGGTGTGACCCTAATTGTCTCCCTATTGCCCACAAACACACACACACATACACACACAGACGCACACAGAGAAGACATTTTTTCTTGAATATCTTCTATCTTTTATCTTAATTAATATGTACTTTAAAGGTACTTGACTTGCTCCCAGCTGACCTGAATTAGATGGCACTGCATATTATCCCCCATACACCGACAGAAGTGATTCCTGAACACAAAGCCAAGAATAACTCCTGAGCACACCTGGGTATAGTGGAAACCCCCTACTCCCAATTTTTTCTAAAGAAAGAATATTCAGTTATTTAAGTTCTGACTGGGAATTGGAGAGGAATCTCAATTGTGTATATGACAGTACAATGGGAAAAATTACATTTGTGCATAGTTTAAGAAAGGCATCATCAGATTAGCAGAAAAAATTACATAAACTTGTGTCACAGACTGTATGTATATCCTCTGATAAATGTCAATTTTATAATTAATTTTTCTATTCATATTCTAAAACCAATAATAATAATAATAAGTTGTTTTGTTTTGTTTGTTTGTTTTGGTGCCACACCTGGCAACATCAGGGCTACCCCTAGGCTTTGCACTCAGAAATCACTACTGGCAGTGCTCGGGGGACCATATGGGATGCTGGGGATCAACCTGGGTTGGCCACTTGCAAGGCAAATGCCCTAGCTGCTATATTATTACTCCAGTCCCTCAAAAGTTTAATAAGAACTATAAGATAGAAACTATAGCAGTCAATGTCCATTGTAGAAGAGAACACTTGTATTCAATTGGCATGTGGCTAAACGCTGCCTAAGCTATGAAATGAAGGGGTTAAAATTGTCTGAAGACCACAGGGTAAGGCACAAACCAACCTTAAAAATCACCTAGGGGCTGGAGTGATAGAGATAGTACAGTGGGTAGGGCGGTTGCCTTGCAGGCAGCAGACCTGGGTTTGATCCCGGGCATCTCATATGATTCCCTAAGCACAAGAGGAGTAATACCTGAGTGTAGAGTCAGGAGTAACCCTGGAGCAATGCCAGGTGTGATTGCCTCAAAAAGCCAAAATAAATAAATTAATAAAAAAAACCAACAAATAACAGAAAGACTTAAAGTTACAGTGGAGGCTGATATCCAAATGGGGATATAAATCAAAATGACCTGGGAAGCTTTAGTGTATATATATATATATATATATATATATATATATGTATGTATATATATATACACATATATGACTATATATAAAATATAAGTATTTATATATATGAATATATATATATATAATGCCCAAATCTAGATTCCTTGAATAAGAATCTTGGAGGTGATAGTGTAGGAAGAAATAATTTCTTCCTCATTCAGATGTAGCTAGGTGAACAAAAGTCAAATATTTGGAAACTACTGTTAAAATGGAATGCACACTAGACAAGGAGACAAAAACTTTGGGTTGGGGTTGAAACTATAGTACAGCAGGTAGGGCATTTGTCTTGCACGAGGCTGACCGGGTTCAATTCCCAGCATCTCATATGATCCCCTGAGCACTGCCAGGGGTAATTCCTGAGTGCAGAGCCAGGAGAAACCCCTGAGCATCGCGAGGTGCAAAAAAAAAACAACAACTTTGGGTTCTAAGCATCCTCTGTTATTATACCATCTGAGATATTACATCAGATTAATACCTGAGATGTTATTACACCATCTGAGATAATTTTACTTAATCATGATAAACTTTGTTTTCCTTAATGAATGTCTTTGTAGCTAGATAATTTCTCCAGTGATGTGTTTGGTTCATTTGTACCTAAAATGCACGAGTTTTCTAATTTTATCTTTTCTGACTTTGTAAACAAATCTCTAATAAAGAAGCAAATAAGCAATAAAATGAATAGGTGAAATAGAAAACTACGCTGAACTTCTAAATAAAAATTCTGAGCACAGAACTGCTCTATGTGCTATACTAAGAATTTGTGTGCAGATAAAAAAAATTCTCCTCTGCGTTCATCATTTAAGTTAAGTATACTAATATTTGTCAAATTAGAAAGTTCTGACTGCACCTTGGAATATTGCCTACAAAAGATTTATTCCTACACATTAGTGAAAAAGATATGCCAAATTATCTTTTCAGTCTTTTTTGAGGAGAGGTAGGGAGAGGTTTGTTTTGGCCCCCACCCAGAGATGTATAGGGTTTACTCCTGGCCCTGCACTCAGGAATTACTCCTGGCAGTTTTGGGGGACCATACAGGATGCTGGGGATTGAACTGGAGCCATCTGAGAGCAAGACTAGTGCCCTACCCCCTATCTTCCCAGTTTTATCAATCACTATTTTGATATTCTGAAAAGATAAGGGTATTCATCAGCAAGATTATTAATTTCCACATGGTTATCTTTAGCTATTTATATGTAAGCTGTTTATGTGTCTAGATCTATATTGTAGTACTCAAAGTGTGTAGTGTCTGGCACAAAAGAGAAACTACAAAAGTGAATAAATTTTTAAAAAGCAATTAGAGTAAGAAAGAAAGAGTAAAAGAGAAAAGTTGGGCAAATTTTCATGAGGATAATGAAAGATTCCAAGTTCTAGGGCACCGTATACTCCATTTCCATTAGTTTAAGTTTCTTCCATGAGAATTTGATTGGGGTAGGTGAACTTCCCTTGAACCTTAATGTCCAAAAAACCCCAACCAAACAAAACATTAAGCAGAAGAGCTTTCAGAATTGATTCTGAAAGAAATAGCTCACCTTTTTTAGAGCAGAGTCGTTCACGAACTGATTTTCCTTCCTTGTTGACATCCATTTTCATCCAGCTATGGAGGTACTTCCTGCCCTTCTTGACCACTACTTTAAAGCTATGTTTCTTGAGAAAGAGAGAAGTATTTCCAACCTCAAGGTACCCGTCATTTGCATAGCACGTCCACTGGGGTGCCTGGGAGCAGGGGGCAAAGGTGACTGATCGGGTAGTACCAGTTGATGAATTGGAGACGCCCAGGCACAATGCTGACTTTACATGAAGGAGCTTTGCTTCCTCAGTCCACATCCACTGCTGGTTCTGGTTGGTGCCATTACAAGAGCCTATGGCCACTATCTCAGTTTTTAAAAGGCACACTTGTTTCTGGACATGAACAATCTGAAACCCCTCTGAAAGACGAAAAACCCGTGAGACACTGTGGAGCTCATTGGAAAATGAAACAATTCATCCATAAGTCAGTGAAGTGAAAATATGAAGTTTACATATATTTTGTTATGATTTCAGTATGCCCAGATTCAAAGGTGTGATTTTTAAAAATCCCAATGTTGACAATGTCAAAATGTCACACTTAGCTCCTTTTAGCTTCACGTGGTTTAGGGAAGAAAACACACCCCCACTGAAATAATCAAAGGAAGTATAGACAAGAAACAAAACCATTCACAGAACATGGCGTGGTAGTTTTGCCTCTTGACTTAGATACACTGAAGTTATAAAAAGTCCAGGTATATTTGAAGTCAGAATATTTTCCCACCTCCTCTCTCTAAAAGAAGTCAGATTATTTTCCCACCTCCTCTCTCTAAAAGAAGTACCCCCTTTTTTTCCTATCCTTAACTTACCATCTAGCAAGAATTTGTAAATAAACGTAGGAAAATTTAAAAAAACGAAATAGATTCATCTTAAAAAACACACACACACAAAGATTTCCACCTCTTTGAACAACAGCCTCTTCGTTAGTAAGTATTGATGATCACAGATTACATTTCTTAGTAGTCATGGAGAAAAATATTCTTTATTTTGTGCCAATAGCTACAGTTTTCCTCCAAAACACCAGTAGGTTTTTTTTAAAAAGTATTTCTCAAGGCAAAAATAGTCAGTACTCAGTATTTAAACCTCAGCATTCAAAAGAGATATTCTTGCTCAGGAACCATTTTTAAGCTTTAATGTGCTTTTATCTAATGGACCCAACTCGACCATGAAAATATGCACACCTTCCTTCCAAATAACAACTTCCAAATACAACACATCACCCTTCTCCAGCCCCTTGGATTAGATCTCCTCTATTCTTGAACACAAAGAAAAGGAAAACCACCACCTGAAAAACATGGAGAATGTCACAGACTGTGACACAGAACAGCAATTTCTCCTCTGGCCTCTTTGGTCTCTCTGCTCTGCAGAGGCCATTTCAGAAGCTGCCCAGGGCAGGGAGAGGGTCAGAGGAGGCTGTTATTTGCTTTTAGAGAAATCCCCCTGGTGTGGGCAGAGCTGGCCCCGTCTCTTCCCCCTCCTCATCGCCTTTGGCTAAACTGCCATGGAGACTTGGCTCCATTTCCGCTTTATTTCAGGCGTTTTCCAAAGCACAAGCGACTCCCCTGCTGGCGCCCAGAGAAATCTGGGAGGAAACTGAGGCCACCCACTCACCTGAGCCTCCGAAGATCACGCAGGTAAGAACCACCACGTACAATTCTGCCTCCATTTTCCAGTTAACAGCTGTTCATGTTTCACTGGGGGCAAAAAATTCTCCCAGATAAGAGAAGCAAAGACTAGAAAGGAAATGTGCCTTCATGGTGGGGGGAAAAAGTCAGTGACGAGCACTTCCTCCTATTGAATTGTTTGGGGAAGTTTTACACCAGTGTCCTTTTGTCTGTTTCCTTAGAAAGAAGGGAATATGATTCTCTCTCTCTCTCTCTTTCTCTCTCTCTCTCTTTCTCTCTCCCTCTTTCTCTGAGTGTGTGTGTGTGGTGTGTGTGTGTGTGTGTGTGTGTGTGTGTGTGTGGTGTGTGTGTGTAGGGGGGTAAAAAACCCAGTCTCCAGCAAACAAATGAAAACTCTCCTAAATTTTCTCCCAGCATCCCTTTGGCACACGTCTACTTCTTCACCTCTAGAAAGAAGAAGGGACCCAGATAAGAGAAGCAAAGACTAGAAGGGACCTATAATCACAGATGATTTACTCTTCCTACAGTGTTAAATTTCTTCAGGTGGTTCTGTGGATAAATACAAATCATGTAATTCATGTGTCATTCAAGATCACCAATGACAAGTGTCATATAGACATTGACATGGGTTGTTTGTGTAATGATCTGCTGAGAGTTATTGAGGAAAACCACATACTGATGGTGACACTTCTAGATCATTATCTTTCTAAGGATAACAATAGTACATGCTCAGATAGTTATCTCCATCAGGGTGAGGTCCAGACTAAACTTAAATCCATCATCACATTATCACTTTCAGGCTCCCCCCTAAAGAGAATAGTATCTTTCCAATAGGAAAAAAAAACATGCTTCAGTCAATATGAAGTATTAAGAGTTTATTGGCAGTACGAAACAAAGTCAACAGAATTGCATTAAAAATTAATATTTGAACAGAACATCTAGTGTTTACTGAGTGTATATATTTTAAAAACTTTGTCTCTTGAGGATTCAAATCATTCAGAAATTTCATTCAGAAATTTAACGTTTCTTAAATTTCTGAATGCCATATCCACGGCAGAGTCCTTTGAAGAATCTCTGGAAATGGGAAAAGTTACATTAGTCCTAAAGGCATCTGTCTTTTTTGAAAGATAGATTCCAGGTAGGCAGCAAATTCAAAAAGTCCTTCTTAATAAAAGAGAGACAAGTATTTAAAATTCTTCTTACATCATAATTGTTACAAATTTGTTTTTTCTCTTTAAAGTAAAATGACTCAAAGAGTAGAAATACGATGAATAGAACTCTCAAGCAGAAACTGCCCCTATGCCCAATAATAGAGAATAAATACATGTAATACCCAATGACAGTCATTGTGCTCTGTAATTATTTGATAGGAGGTACTGATGAATACACATTTAATAGGTGATATTATCAAGACACATCTTCATATAAAGTAGTTGCTGCTTTTGATTTTTTTTCAAAACACAGACTTATTGTTAAAAATTCATTTTCAATCACTTCCAACAGTAGTGGCAAGATTCTGGTAACCAAGAAGGGTAATAGCACTTAAAACAGTAACAGTTTAATAGCTGACAGTCTATTCACAAGACGGAATTTGCAAACATCAAAGCATCTAAAAAACAATAATTTCTTCAGCAGCTCTTGTCGTCATCTGATGACACATTACTGAGTATTTCATAGATACATCTGTGTGGCAAATAGTCAATGAGATAAAACAGATTCCATCTTAGGCTGTGTGAAAAATGTATCATACCTCCATTAGCAAAGGACCTTCAAAATAATGTCAGGGATGCTTACAGTTGCATTCATGTATACAAAGGACTGGGCTATCTTTAATATGTTGCCAAGTCTTCCACAATCCATGCCAGAGCTTGATGTTAGGGCTTCTCTTTCCATCTTGCCGGAAGCGCCTTTCAGGAGCCTCAAGTGGGTAACTGATTAATCACCCTTAGATATTGATGGTCTGATCAGCTTTGAAGAATCACTGAACAGTTTCTGCTGAAAGTCTGCTCTCATACAGGCACAGAGCATGATGCACAAATTCATATTGCTCACTAGTTTGGACCATTCCACCCCTGTAAGGAAAAGATAATACAAGAATTTCTTATTGATGGTATCCTACAAACACAAACACAAACAATACAGAGTAGGGTATTATACCATACCTATAAGACATACAGAGTGGTTGATGCAGTGATGTTTTTGTTGTGTTTTGTTTAGGGGCCACACCTTCTGGTGCTCAGGGATTACTCCAGGTTCTGTTCTCAGGGATCACTCCTGACCATCTGGGTACTGGGGATCGAATGAGGGTCAGCTGTATGCAAGGACAGCACCCTACCTGTTATACTATTGCTCTCACCTCTAGGTGACTTTTTTTTTAAGCTCTCTTAACAGTGATCAAAATGCCCAAGCAGTGAAATTAATAAACTAACTATGTAAAGGAATTAATGTGGTTCTTCTCACACACTAGCTACTTGATTAAGTTTTTCTAATGGTTTTACATAACATTCACAGAAAGACAGTCTAGCTTAAAGGTTAAACACTTGGACCCTAGATCCAGCCAGAGTGAGTCTAAATCATCTGTATGTGAATTCTTAGCTCTGTGATCTTGGGCAAATTCCTCAAAAGCCCTTTCCATTTCCAAATCCGCCTGTTTCTTCCATGTAAGAAAAATAATTGGAAATCAATTTCATAGGATTACAGTGAAATTTAAATAAATTCTTCTATTTGGATTTTTGGTATTAACTTTCTGCGTGACTTTTCATTCATTTTTATGTTGACATGTTTCATACACTTGGATCAAAATTGACTGAAAAAGTTTTACCAAATAAAATTTTACTCTGAGATGTTGATGTTTCTGTTTTGCTTGGTTTGGGGGCCATGGCTGACTGTGAGGGCTTACTGGGGTACCATATTAGAGAGCGAGCCTGGGCTGGCAGCATGTGAGGCAAGAGCCTTATCTGCTGTACTAACTGTCTGGTCCAAATGGTGCTTTTCAATGAGTAAAATGAGAAATTTCCCGAGAATGTATAACTGATTATATGTAAATAACTTTTGCCAGTTGTATGTTATTGTGTAAATACAATGGGTTATAGACCTTAAATGGGTTGAAAAGAGGAAAATGAGCCTTGTGTTTTCTTCTTTATTATTTTTATTAATGATGGGTCTCATTCTTCTAACCCTGAAAGAGCCTTGAATATGGAACTTTTTTAAAAAAAATCTCAGGGCTAGGACTAAGGAGACGTTACTGGGGCCTGCTCGAGGCAATCGATAAACAACAGGATGGTCATGATTGTCGTGATTTTTATTATCACTATTATGCAGACCTTTTCTTCTGGGTTAGTAGAAGATAGCTGCCTTCATGAAAAATAACTATGCTTTCCCTGTTCTTCTTTCTATAAAATGGCTACATCACTTTTTTATTTTAGTGTAGTAATGGTTCTTTTACATGGAAAATCTACCAGATAGTCATGTAAATGTTTTCCAGTTACTGAACCGGGTTCTGCCTACTCGAGAAAATCGATGAACAACGGAAGGACAGTGACAGTGACAGAGTAGTATCACTGTTATTGTTTGATGTCCTGTACATCACTGCGACTAAACAACTCATTTCAAATTAATATTCCAGCTAGCTCTTCTAAGCAACTGTCACCATTAACTTGTATTACTTTTATATCCTTTAAGTCCTTTACTGAAAACAAGACACACTGACACACTGTAATATGATTTCTGGTTAGTGGGAATAACAAGTAAGTATTTTACATTTACTTGTTTATCACAATAATGAAAGTTTGAAAAGAAGCCTAACTTTACCCTTCTGAACTAACTAAATATATATTTCTCTCACTGTCACTGTCCTCCCGTTGTTCATCAAACAAAAAAGCTTTCCAGGCTTTTGCCGTGAGAGGGCAAGATACTCTCCGTAGCTTGCCAGGCTCTCTGAGAGGGGTGGAGGAATTGAACTTGGGTTGGCTGTATTGGCCATGTGCAAGGCAAATGCCCTACCCACTGTGCTATCGCTCCAGCCCAAAAATATATATATATGTATATGTATATATGCATATATACATATATATATATATAGAGAGAGAGAAAGTATACACACACACACACACACACACAGTTTTCTGACCACACCTGGTAGTACTCAAGCTTACTTCTGACTCTATACTCAGCAATAACTTCTGGCAGACTTGGGGGACCATATGCGGCACGGGGGGGGGGGGGGGCTGAACTTGAGTTTTCCATGTCAAAGCAAGTGCCCCACCCATTATACTATCTCTCTAATCTAAGAAACATCTCACTAATCTTTTCCCTTAGGGTTCTGTACTTTGTTTTACTGGAGACAACTCTCTGGCCAAAGTATTTCTTAGTTATAAGTTGTCTCAGAATTGTCCCAGAAGAATATGTTAAGTATCTTCTAAGTTGGATGATGGCCACTGGGCACATGTAACAGACATAACAGGTGTCCGGAAAATGCTGGCCTTGACTTTGTAGCTTGGGAGATAGACGCACAGTAAATATTAGAGCAGCTCCAGGGAGCTGAGAGGTGCCTCCCTTCCTCTGGCACTCACGCAGCTGGGAACCATCCTTCTCCGGGAGCTGCAGACCGTGTGTGGAAACTTATATGTGCTCCTTCTCAGGAGCTCTGCTCTGTGAACTTCCTCTCACCATTTACCTCATTTTGAGGCAAGATTTTCCCTCTTTTGTATGTTTTGGTGAGCACTGGCATTTGCTTGTCCAACTAGTGAATGAAAGGAGACACAGTCTAGTTTTTAATCACATTTTACCCCAAGTGGGCCAACAGTGAATTTGAATGTTTGGAGTATATTTAGTATGACATTCTGTTAACTAAGACAAAGTTGTTTTAGCCAGGAAAGGTGGAGAAGAGGAGAAACGAACTCATTCCTTGTAGACTAACAAAATGTTTGGAGGATCTGAAGGTTCTTAAAGAAGCTGTATGGAAACTTGTATTACTTCTCACTTCATTTGGGAAATAAAAATGAAAGAATTAGCATTAGACTTTATGAATTCAAATAATCATTCACAGGATCATTTGGAGCATACCCCGTAGTGCTCAGGGCTTACTCCTTCCTCTGCACTCAGAAATCACTCTCGGCTAGGATCAGGGACCCCACTGGATTCTGGGGATCAAACCCAGTCAGCTGCATACAAGTAAACCATCCACCTGCTCTGCCTCTCACCCCTTTGGGGTATTCTTTGTTTGTTTGTTTATTTTTGAATTTTGAGCCACATCTAGCAGTCCTCACAGCTTACTCCTGGCTCTGTACTCAGGAATCACCACCGGCAGCACTGAGGATGAATATGGGTGCCAGACATTGAACCCAAGTTGGGTGCATGCAAGGCAAGTGCCCTACCCGTGGTACTATCTCTCGATTTCTAAAGAGATCATTTTTTCTGATTGCTGGTGTGTGGCAGCCTTTCCTGAGCAGAGAGGTGTGCAGCAGGGAAGATGGGTCGCTGTTTCTGCTGGAATGTTCGCTGGCAAGGAAGTACCTTTCGAGGTTGCCTTTTCCAGTGTTGTCAGGAAAAAATTTGACGACATCAAAATAAATCTGCCTCTCTCTAAATTTCATCCCATTGGTTGAACTGAAATAACCCGAAAAAAGTCTACAAGGTTTCTCTTGTAGTCACACAATAGCTCTCTAAATGCTGGAAAACAACCATCAAAGTCCCATAATCTTTTCTTCTCTAGACTAAACATCCTGTGGTCACTCAATATTTCTATACAGCCTGGTTTCCCTGTCAGTCCCAATTTAGTCTCCCTCTTCTGCAGGCCATTTTGTAAAATATGACCTTCTTAAGTGTTGTGTCTACTCCCAGTGACATCCAGACAGTGGCAATATTTTCTCCCTGCATACAGAGGCTGATGAGCTTGCCAGTTGCAGGTGCATTGGGGGTTCAGATCACACAGTATTTACCCGAAGCCTGGGGCTCAGCGAGAATTTTAGAGTATTGAGTGAAGACTCAGTAGGTCAAATGAAAAGCCTGTAGGATTTTTTGGAAACTGAAAGATGACAGGTGTTTTTTCTCTTGTAGGTTATTGAAAATGTGAAACTAAGTGCAGGGCTTTCTGTTTATTCCTATTAATTTCAAATTGTTGGTTTCAATGCAGCATTCTTATTTCCTGACATCACTCTTATCATTCAATATTTTCACCTTGCATTTCTGGTTCCCAGCTTGGAGTCTTTCTGATATTTAACTAGTAAGCCTTCTACCTGCTTATCAATCATTTATAAAGGAGTAGGAAAATATGGGGTCAAGGTTCGATTTTAATTTAAGTAATTTGATGTTTTTCTGGAATAATTCTTTCAAAATTGTTTCACTAATCTGTAGATCCTCTTAGGGCAGTAATGGTGCTTTTTATATTTACCACAATGAGAAGTACCTATTAGAACTAAATATATAACCTATCACAGGGAATCAAGTGATAACACAGTAGGTAGGGTATTTGCCTTTCATGTGGTGAATACAGATTGGATCCCCGCATCACATATAGTCCTCTGAGCCACCCCAGGAGTGATACCTGAGCATATAGTCAGTAGTAAGTCCTGAGCACTTCCCGTTATGTCCCTCAAAACAAAACAACCAAAAAACTAAGTTGGTTACATGTACTGTGCTCCTTGTAGATCATGCAAACATGGAACAAAATAAAGAAATGGACATCCAGTCACTAGAGGTGAATTTAAATTTGGAAACTCATCATAATCATTTTTAAAACACTTAGTAAAATTTTTATCGTCATCCAGAACAGCCTTGATTTATTCTCTAGTAACCTTTATTTTAAAAAATTTTATTGGACCACACCCAGCAATACTCAGAGGTTACTTCTAGCTCTCTACTGAGGAATTACTACTGGTGGTGCTTGGGAGACCATATAGGATGTCAGGGGTCGAACTGGGTGGGCATATTCAAGGCAAGAGTCTAACCCACTGTACTATTGCTCTGGTTCCATCTAGCTACAGTTCAGGCCAGACAGGGCTCTCTAAACATGCTTAAAATCTTAGTCTATATCATACATGTAAAGTTATACCAAAAACTCATCATTAAAAGT